AAAAAAAAAAAAAAAAAAAAAAAAAAAAAAAACTGAAAATTTTGATATTCGATACCTTTCTCAGAGAGTATATATATGAGCAGCTTTGAAGCTCAAGTATTCAAAGCTGGGACGAGCAGAATCCTGGTCTTCTTCTTCTTCGATAAATATATACAACTTGATATATTGGTTAAGTTGCTATATATATATATAGAGAGAGAGAGAGAGAGAGAAAGAGAAGGAGAGAGAAAATAATGGCAGCTGGGAATGAATGGCTGCATGGCTATTTGGAAGCGATTCTGGACGTAGGAAGCAAGACAAGCAAAAAACAAGAAGGGAAGCACAGAATTACCAGGTTTGATGACAAACAAAAGAAAGGGAAGCTGTTTTGTCCAACAAAATACTTCGTTGAAGAGGTCGTTTACAGCTTCGATGAGTCTGATCTCTACAAAACTTGGACCAAGGTTTTCTTTACACATTAATTAATTACCTCTCTCTCTCTCCCCCTCCCTTTCTTCTCTACATATATCTCTTGTTATTTCAATTAGCAGCATGCATAATTTAAATTATTAGTATACTTACATGCACTATTGTATTCCTCAACATTTTTTGGTTCATAATTTCTGATTACTTTTTGTTAGTTTATTTAAGTAAATATTAATTGAAATGAATTTTCCATCACTATTTTTGTTTAGTTATATCGAAAAGAAGTTCAAATTACTAACTGTTAATAAAAAGAAACAAAAAAAAAAAAAAAAAAAAAAAAAAAAAAAAAAAAAAAAAAAAAAAAAAAAAAAAAAAAAAAAAAAAAAAAAAAAAAAAAAAAAAAAAAAAAAAAAAAAACAACGTGACACATAAGGGTATATATTCCTTTCTAATCTAAAAGCGAGGGAACGTCAGCGCCCCCACTCTTGCTTACCTCTTTTTGGCCACTTTTTGATGGGGGAATATTATTATGAGTGTAACCTTTTTATTAGCTCTCACAGTTAATTGCAAACTACCGCTTAGGAAATAAAAAAATTATCCAAGTATTGCATGCTAGAATAGGTAGGAATTTAATCACGCAAGATCGATGGTTGAGACTTGTACCTGATGAATCGAAAGTCCTTTTGCTTAGCTTCCAGATTTCTAAGCTGCCTTGGATAAATGATAAAACTTCCCAATCCAGTAAGCTAAACTGTATCCTTCCTGTTAAATCACTGTCCAAAACCTTTTTACTCTTTTAATCAATAATCAAAATTTTATGCTAATATGAGATCATAATATTGCAGGAATTTAAACTAGATCGGATAAATTTTATCGGTTAATATATTTAAAAAATACATTTCTCCCATAACAGTGTCAAGATGATCCATCGTAAAAAATGAATCTTCTCGATATTGCTCATCTCCTAACGAATTAAGTTTAAGATGGAAGTCCATACCAACATATCATTAAAGGGGAAATAGAACTTATGCGATGATTGTACTTACAGGTGATTGCAACTAGGAATACACGTGACCGCAATAATAGACTGGAGAACATGTGCTGGCGCATTTGGCATCTGGCTCGGAAGAAGAAGCAGGTGAATGTTAATATGCAATTCATACTTCTAGCAAATATGTGATTACTGATGCATCCTAGTTTAGCATCGAATGATCTTGCACGTTTTTATTTTTTGGTTGAAAATGCAAGAGACTCAATTGTTCACACACTGAATTCCAAGTCAAGTGATAACGAGTATTATCGTTTAAAGTTAGTTTAAGGCAGTATTACTTATTAGCCTACCAGAAGAATAATTTAGTGTTTTTATTTTTGGCTAAATATATGGTTTGATACCTAATGTTTCAGTGGTTTTTAAATTTAGTGTCCAAAGTTTTAAAATTTTCAATTTAATCTCTTATATTTTTATATTTGTCAATTATACTAATGGAATACTATATTGAATTGGTAGAAATTTCAAGAAGAAATTTGATCACCTATTCAATTTTTCCTTGAATTATTAAAAGTTGGCAACCTTTTTAAATTTGAACCCAACTCATTCAAATTTTTAAGAACTCACTAATATCTACCACAAGTCAATTTTAACCTTCCTAGTTGTGAGGGTATAATTGAGATTTTTTAAAAGACAAGGAACTAAATTAAAATGTTTTAAATAGTAGGGATCAAATTGAAAAAAACACTCAAATAGTAGGAACAAAACATAGATAACCATTGTTTTATCGTAATCTAAATTATTTTCTAATATTAAAAACACGGACAAAAGTTTCTTAAAAAATAGGTTGCAAAACAGGTTTTGAAAACAAATTTTGAGAACTTTCATCCAAAAGCTCTTTAACTCTCTCAAACTCGCCTTTGAAAACAATAAAAGAGAGAGAACTTTATTAATGACAGTCCTAACCAAGTACAGTGCAGACGTGTGTTACGAGCTAGTGTTTATGAAAGTGCATGGAGAATTTCCCCTTTTAGTTCCCTACATCTCCAAATCCTTCCAGTTCAATGTAAACTAGTCATAGGCTCTAGCATATATTAAACTTACAAATATTCTTATGGTATGTGACACGAACAGATAGCTTGGGATGATGAACAAAAACTAACAAACCGACGACTGGAACGAGAGCAAGGTCGGAGCGATGCTTCTGACGATCTCTCAGAGGGCTCAGAGGGAGAAAAAGAGCAAGGGGACACTAACATATCCGAGTCTATCAAAGATACTCCTATTATTAATTCTGACACTCAAATTTGGCCAGATGATGAAAAGTCTAGAAGCCTTTATATTGTCTTAATCAGGTATACACTCAAGTACTCCAATTTCAATGGATGATCATCAAGGATTTAAACAATAGAACAACTAGACCGAGTAAATTCATTTAAATAGCTAAGAGGACAATGCGTGCAGCAATAACTGATATAAATATGTGTACCTTCTAATGTGAAGTTTGTGATTCTTCCAGTATCCATGGGCTGGTGCGAGGAGAAAATATGGAACTTGGAAGAGATTCTGATACGGGTGGCCAGGTAAGATGAAATTTGTCAAGTCCTTTAAAAGCAATAAGATACAGAAAAAGTAGAAGGGAAAGAAAACATGCCTCTTTATCTCCTTCCTTCAGAAATAATCATCTGCAATGAAAGGTCCTGCATGACAAAGCTTACAATATCGAAAGCATTTAACTACTATCTATTTATCTTTACCTGTAGCTTCTTTAATTTCAGGTCAAATATGTGGTTGAACTTGCTCGAGCTTTAGCCAATACAAAAAGGGTGCACCGGGTTGATCTCCTAACTAGACAAATCTCCTCATCTGAGGTAGATTCCAGTTATGGAGAGCCCGTAGAGATGTTGTCGTGCCCATCTGACGGAACTGGAAACTGTGGTGCCTACATTATTCGAATTCCATGTGGACCTCGTGATAAGTGTGTGCTAAATATTGTTCCCTTCCCCCCTCAACATTTACATTCTAATTGTGGCAATTAACACACAAGCAAATCTTGTAACAGATACGTACCAAAAGAATCCCTCTGGCCATACATACCTGAATTCGTCGATGGAGCTTTCAACCACATTGTTAACATGGCAAGAGCTTTGGGTGAAGAAGTTGCAGGAGGAAATCCAATTTGGCCTTATGTCATCCATGGTCATTATGCAGATGCAGGGGAGGTGGCTGCTCACTTGTCTGGGGCACTGAATGTGCCAATGGTTCTAACAGGACATTCTTTGGGCAGGAACAAATTTGAACAATTGCTTAAACAAGGGAGGTTGTCAAAAGAGGACATCAATGCAACCTATAACATTATCAGGAGAATTGGGGCAGAGGAGTTGGGGTTGGACGCTGCTGAGATGGTGGTTACTAGCACAAGGCAAGAGATAGATGAACAATGGGGACTGTATGATGGTTTCGATCTCAAGTTGGAGAGGAAGCTTAGGGTTCGAAGGCAGCGAGGAGTGAGTTGCCTTGGTAGATCCATGCCTAGAATGGTGGTATGTTATACATGCGACCTCTTAAAGCTCTCTCTTTTCTTGCATTAAGAAGAATAGCTGCCATAATCCAAATTCATTCACATATATATTTATTTCATTTGTCACATCCAGATGATAGTGGAAAGAAGATAGGAAATTTTGGTTGGAATATTTTGTCTTGAACATATACTTATCATCCTTCGGCCTTAGGTTATACCTCCAGGCATGGATTTCAGCAATGTTACAATCCAAGATCCAATGGAAAGCGACGGAGACCTGAAGTCATTGATCGGACCAGACAGAGTTAGAGCTCAAAACAATAGAAATATACCTCCAATCTGGAATGAGGTTCCATATTCTTCTTTCATCCTTTGTACTATTCCTGAAAAGATTGAATTCATTGAAAACAGTACAGATTGATAAAATTACTTTCAGCTTTCTTCTCTTTAGCAAAGTAAGAGAATTTCTTAACGAATCTCATAGAACAAACTGGATGCAGATTATGCGTTTTCTCACAAATCCTCACAAGCCAATGATACTAGCATTATCCCGTCCTGACCCTAAGAAAAATGTCACCACATTGCTTAAGGCTTTTGGAGAATGTCAAGCCCTGCGGGAGTTGGCCAACTTGGTAATAATATTTTCCCTCCCTTTCTTCTATCATCGCTTATGCGCAGGCCTAGAGCCATATATAAGGACTAACTTTTGTTGACTCTTTACTTTTGCTGAAGGTTCTGATTCTTGGTAACAGAGATGATATTGAAGAAATGTCTACTAATAGCTCCAGTGTTTTGATAACCGTGCTTAAGCTCCTTGATAAGTATGATTTATACGGTCAAGTTGCTTACCCCAAGCACCATAAACAATCTGAAGTTCACCAAATTTACTGTTTGGCAGCAAAAACAAAGGTAAACTTCCCCTGCTAACAAATAGAAAAAAGTTCACAACTAAATTTCTGCATAAAATTGGGTCAAGGATGATATTGTTGTCCCTCTAAGGTGTTAATGTATGCCTAGTTTTGCAAGAATTGACCTGTTACAAAGAAAATATCAACCTACACACCATAGAATAGGCAAAGTTTATGCTAAAGTATTCTATCAATGATATTTAAGACTCTAATAGTACCTCTTGGCGTTGACTTTTGAAGGGAGTTTTCATCAACCCGGCTTTGGTCGAACCTTTTGGCCTCACTCTTATTGAGGTAAAAAGTTCACACTTCTATTCACAGATTAGAATGAACTTCATCCAGGGCCCATAATAATGTTTAATTGAAACCTAAAAGACAGAAACAAAGTTCCTAAAGCATGAAATTCACGCGAAAAATGCTTTTATAACTGATTACCAGGTTGATTCCATGCCTAAATTTGCAGGCAGCTGCCTATGGCTTACCTGTTGTTGCCACGAAAAATGGAGGACCGGTAGATATTTTGAAGGTAGGCCTTTCAAGAAAATAACTTGCCTAAAGTATGCCTGGATCCGTAATCCTAGCTGTACTATCCAATAAGTTCTTTGTACCATGTTTAACGCCACACGATAAGTATCCTTTTTGATTCTACACAGATTTGTATTTATTGTCAATAATCAAACTAATGTCTTCTCAGGCGTTACACAATGGACTCCTCATTGATCCACATGATCACAAAGCAATAGCAGATGCCCTTTTGAAGCTGGTTGCTGACAAAAACTTATGGATGGAATGTCGTAAGAACAGCCTTAAAAACATACACCGGTTTTCATGGACAGAACACTGTAAAAACTATCTCTCCCACATTGAGCACTGTTGTAACCGCCATCCTACCATCCGCCATGAGAGCGTACCAATTCCAGAAGAACCCATGAGTGACTCTCTAAAGGATGTAGAAAATCTTTCATTAAGATTCTCCATAGAAGGAGAATTGAAATTCAATGGAGAGCTCGACAGTGCAATGCGGCAGAAGGAACTTATTGAAGCAATTACCAAAAGAATGGTTTCCTCTCATAACAATGACAGTGCAGGTTATTATCCAGGTAGAAGGCAGGGACTATTTGTAATAGCCACAGATTGTTACAATAACAATGGAGAGTATACTGAAAGTTTGCAATCAACAATTAAGAATGTGATGAAAACTGGCTCAGCCTTGGGTTTAGGCAGTATAGGATACGTATTTTTAACAGGATCAAGCTTAAGAGAAACAATGGAGGCACTGAAATGCTGCCAAGTAAGCATAGAAGAATTTGATGCGTTGGTATGCAATAGTGGAAGTGAGCTGTACTATCCATGGCGAGATACAGCAGGTGATACAGATTATGAATCACACATTGAGTACAGATGGCCAGGAGAGAATGTCAGATCGATGGTGACCAGGCTTGCTAAGTTGGAAGGTGGGAACGAGGATGACATAACGGAACATGTAGGCATATGGAGTTCAAGGTGCTGCTCCTACAATGTGAAATCAACTGCCAAAGTAAGAATTCAAATATGCTTTATTGTACTGACTCGACGAATGTAATTTGTGGCCTAGGACTGCACATTTCTCATGAGAATCCTAATGTAATGGGCAGATTAGGAAGACTGAAGACCTTCATCAACGGCTGCGGATGCGAGGACTCCGGTGCAATATTGTCTATGTACGAGCAGCATCAAGGTTAAATGTGCTACCATTGTTTGCATCAAGAAGACAGGCACTAAGGTTAGATTCCTTTGATTATGAAACAACAAAGACTCCACAGAAAAAATAAAAAGATGATGATAAGAGTAATTATGGTATTATAAAAATGAATTACCATTGCAATAACTACAGAAGGAAAACAAAGAACGAGAAAGAAATTACTTAAATGCCTGCTATTTTGGTAGGTACCTTTCAATCAAATGGGGAATTGATCTATCCAAAATGGTCGTGTTCGTTGGGGAGAAAGGAGATACGGATCATGAAGACCTGCTCGTTGGCCTCCACAAGACCATTGTTTTAAGAGGCTCTGTTGAGCATGGGAGTGAAGACAGCTTTAACAGAGAATGTACAGTCACCTTCTCACGTGATAGTCCTAACATTTCCATTTTAGAGGATACTTACGGCGTTCATGATCTTTCGGCAGCACTAAATGTTGCTGAGATCAAGAGCTATTAGCCTGTTCTGTTGCCACATATGTAAATAACGAAAAAGAAGATGTGACTGCCATAATAAGAAGAATGTACTTCACTTTTCGTAAGAGCATCAATATTCATTAAAATAATAATAATAATACAACATAAATTGCATTTTGCAACATTTTACTTGATGTTGTTACAGAAAAGGGGTCGCAAAATAACGATCGTAAAATAATTCTCGAAACAAATTGCTGTCATTAATATGCACAAAAGTAGCACGGTAAACATAGTTAGATTTCAGTATTACATCCAACGACGTTGTTTTGCAATGAAGAAGAATTTTGAACTAAGCAGAAGTATTTCTTAGCTCGAGTAGTTGCAACGTTTTCCACAGCAATAGGATTGAGAACATAGCACATTACTCTCGTTAAGAGACAATATATCACATTGCAAAAGAAGCAATTACCCGCTCAGCGAAGTTTAAGTTTTGACAGATTCTAGCACAAGATCACCATCAAACATCTATTCCCCTCTCAATTACCTGCATAGTGGTTAGCTTTGTCCTATTTCTTCTTCACTCTTCCAAACAACAGACTGTTTGCATTATCACGTACTTGAGCTTATTCCAGCCTTGTATTCCTTACCACAAGTGCATTTAATCACACGCGAAATTTCCTACAAAGTACGACATAACTCTTTCTTATTAAAAGACAGAAGAACGTCCACAGTGCAGTTGAATTAAATATATATATATATATATACATACATACATATGATAAAACCAACCGTCAAATGGTAAGAAAAAAATCATTGATTTCAAGTTCACCTTCAGTTTTGCAATTTGGTCTTGAAGGGACCGTGAATACTCGGTTTCTCCAGCTTTATCTGATAAGAGCGCCTTGGACTCTTCCTCCAATGTAACATCATCCATTGCTCTGAGTTCTGGCTGAAGTTTTTATCCAGGAAAAAGTATTAAATAATAGATTATAATAAATCAGGTTGATTCTAGAATGCTTTCATAGAAAATTTGGGATATTATTGATTTGTATGTTCGAAACGTAGCTCCCATAATTGGGTTGTAAAAACTATTGCTATAGTTAGGGGACAACCTTAAGTCAATAGCATAAGGAATTACGATATGTACAGATCACAAAGCAGATAGTGTCCATGTAGAAGGTATTTCATGACTTGCGCTAGATAGCGTCTTCTATTGTGATCTGTTCTCGAGATTCCATTGTCGTAAGTTGTTTAAATATTATAAGGGTTGATGCTCTTATTTACTACCATCAAATCGATTACCTAGCTAAAATTAATTTATTTTACTAAATAGACAAATATGAGCACCACGAACACTAACCTTGAAATCATTTAATTCGTTCTTAACTTCCTCAATTGACTGTCCAATCTGAAACAAAAATAGATGCCGGTCCAAATTAACAGTCTACAGTTAAAAAATGATTCCTATCTTCTTACATGCTCTTTCTTTTCCCATATATGCGGGTGGTAGGAAGTTACGAATGGAAGCACTATTCTTATAATCGCACATACAACCTTTGACGACATTGATTACCTTGGAGTTCTCCAAAACAACTGCACATTTCATCTTTGAAACTTGACTAAGTTTGTCTTTCGCAGATTCCAAATCTTTCCTCTCTTCCACCTGTAAACCAACATTAGATAGCACATTATGCTTCAACACACTCGCCAGTCCATGGCAGGAGTTCAGTACCAGATTGTTAGGACTGCAGTAAATACGAGTGCCAGATATCCCTACGAGAGAGGATGGAATAAAATTAGTATGAATTTCATGCTACAGTAGTTAGATTGTTAAATGGAAGCTCAAATAATCAAATTTTACATTTGAGCTTCACTTGCAAACCATTATATAAAATGTTTCCACGCTATCGATCAAATTGCTATTGATTCAGAAACTAAAATAAATTATTTCTAAAAGCCTTGAACTTTGAAAAACTTTGGAAAATGTCTGACGATTCTACTTTATCATCCATTCTATATCTTAACTGCAAAACTAGTTACAAATAGGATAGATTTAATCTAAAGTGTTCCAAAGTAAACCATTCTACGTATTATGGTTAGTTAAAAACTTGAAGAGGGGATAGGAGGCCAAGAACTACCTCCAACTGTATCATAAGATCCTTCCGTTTCACTTCCTCGCTTAGCAGTTTCAAACTTAACCTGAAATAAATTGTAATCAGTTATGCTGGAAGGAATAACTTATTGCACGCAGTGGGAATGCAAAACCTGCAAACAGAAGAGACCTTAGAAAAGATGATTTAAAGATTAAAACTTCTTCAGCCTTATCTTGTTGTAAATAAAACAATTGGCCCTAGCACAAGCTTTTAACTCCAAATTACTTGCGTGGTGAATAAGGGCTAAGGGTCGTGAATGAACACTTGAACTATCTTCACTCCATCACTTAGATTGATGATTTAGTACATGATGGTTTTATTGAAAAGATCGAGGGCTCAATATTTATCTCTCGTGTTTTATGCATTCTCATTTAAAGCCAATACGATAAGGACCAAGTAACTAAAGGTTGATAAAAGAAAAAAGGTCGTGATCAAGGGCAAATATTCTTGAAAGAAAGATCCAGAGCCAAACTAAGTATATGCTATAAAAATGACATTAAGAGCGTAAAATAAGACGAGATTTAAGCATGAAAAATATAATAGATTCCCACGATGACATTAGAAATTCACATATAGGGATGGAGGAAGCTTCTATTTAGAACCTGAGAAGGAAAAATAATTCATATATGAGCTATAGAATTTAAAATAGACAGGTTCAAAACATCTAGTTTCCTATGAAGGAATATTAAATTGTAGCGGCAAGAATCACTTGGATACTTGTTTACTAACTCTCTTTAAACCCATGTACAAACTCTAGCGCCGATATCTATTGGAGCAGTTGAGGGACAACCATCTAATCTCATGAGAGCAAAGAAAGGGCAGCTCAAATATACCATAACTACTAATATGATAAGTAGTGGAGAGACAAGAGTGATGATCTAGTGAGAAATACCAATCCGTGCTCTTCCGCTTCTCCGCGGATCATGTTAGCATTTACCCAGTCCTACACCAAAGGTTGCATAATAGACTGAATTTCAAAACATAAATAATGGATTTAGAATTCATGATTTATATGACATATGTTTTGGACTTCAACCTGCTGATCTTGGAATTTGAGACTGATGTCCTCAGAAACTTTGGCATAATAATTACTATCATGGTCAAATATACTATTGTTAATAACACAATCACGCACCGTTGGTAGAACCAGAAATTCAATACTGCATAGTGCAATCACCTCTTCTCAATAATTTTGGCTCCTAAGCTGACTTTTTCTTGCTGAATGAGCTCGAGTGTCTGTATATCAAACAGTTGAGAGTACTTAACAAGCAAGAGGCGGATGCAAAACAGTATTCGTTGAAATCCATAATGGAAAGAAACTAAACAAACATTTTTCTCCTCTTGTTAAACAGGAGAATAAGTGAACCGGAGAAAATAGTTCCCTTTGTTCTTTTAGTCTAACGAAACTAGACATCATAGAAACTCTTTTTCTCTTAAACGTATATATATACAAGAGTTGGGCACAATATCCAGCCTCAGCTCACATATTTGATCGACTAAAGGCAAGCAAAAAAAAATTGAGGCCGGACCAGAAGAAAAGTCCAATTCCATTTCATGAGGACACTTGAGGTTGAGCAGTATGACTTTGCTTTTTAGTTCATGACTCCACTAAATTGAATCATATACATTGTATTTACCTAGAAAATTCAATACTAGCGCTGAAATAAGAGAGAGAAAATAAACTTTTGTTCCATTTTCTCCATTTTTGTCAGCGACGAGAAATGATGAAATGGAGATAGATTATTTACCATGTAGATGCTACAGCATGGTCCTTTTACACTAACTAAGCAGTTGCTAAACAGCTTTTAGACCTACACGAAAGGGAGGACACAAGGAAAGCACCAAGACACCAGTACAGAGAATAGACACCTGTGAAAGTGTACATATGTCATGCTCCAAAGAGGTGATTTTTCTTTGTTGTTCTAATATCTGGGAGCATATTTCACCCTTTGCCCGCATCATTCTCTCAGCATCTTCTTTGAATTGTTTTAGCTCACTTTTTGCTGCATCAAGACGTCTTTAGTGAAAGCAAACTATAGCCATTCGATCTACAACTCAAAAATTTTAGTTTGCTCGAAATATTAAAGTTTTAGGAAAAAACAAGGTAAGACTACAATTAAATCTGAATTTAACATGCAATAATTCGTGCCGAAGTTCATTCGACCGACCAATTCTCAACAGAAAGTAACCAAACGGCAACAGCTGCTAATCAGCACTACATGTACGAACAAAAATTGGTGAAACCGGCTCAAAAAAATAAATTAGACTACATATTATATTAAAAGACTTCTAGAATAGTACTGGATTAAGTAATAAACATAGGTAAATAAAATGATAGTTCAGTCCTATTTGGTTGATTTAAGTAATGGTTCAAGGATAATATTGGGAGTTAGTTATATCAGCAAGATATCAGAAAATCTCAGTCTGACTAAAGCAAGAGTAGAATGAGACAAAATCAAAGCACTTCAAACACACGCTATGAATTACATGGCACCAGGCTGGATGTGCATCAAGAGTAAGCAATCTTATGCCTAAGATAAAAGCAAAGAAGTTAGTTATCACATTAGGTCCAATGGACAATATGTTTGATCGACTTGGAAGAAGATGAATGTTCTTAGGTTTTTGTTACTCGATTCACGTAATTATATATTACCAATATGAGTTGTGACACTCTCGAAACAGGATTATTATACCCCTTTGAAATTTTTGGCAATTACAAAAGCAATAAAATAGATTTTTTGGCCAAACGCGTCTCTGAATGAATTAGAAGAATTCTTCAGCCGTCTTTATAAGAAACTGCAAAATCCTTCAGCTTCACTTTGTATAGTCACGGTTGTAGTAGGCATGAATAACCAAAACTACTTTCAAGTAAGCCAGTCATCCATAGATATGTATCAGACTGATTTAGAAACCCGGGAAAAACTTGATCAAAAAGAAAACTAGATGCTATGGAGTTTTGAGCAAGAAAATGATCACAATAACCAGTTAGATATCCTCGAAATGATCTGAAGCGAAATTAAAAAAAATAGTAATAATGGAGGACGAGACAGGAACAAAAGAGAGAATAAATCTACAAAATCTCCGTAAACAAAGTACGTGCTGAATTATTTTTCTAGGTGCAAAAGGAAGAACGTTCAGATAAACAAATAACGAACTAGAAGACTAGATGTAGAGACTTGACCAGCAGTAAGATCATTCTCCATGGTTCGAATAGTAGTAAAGTGCATGTGCTCTTCCACAGAGATCTTCGAAACTTGATCCTCCACGTCTAAGTCAAGTTTGATAAAGAATCAACCCAAAAGTAGCACAATAACGCAACAAAAAATAATTCCGTACGTTAAAACTTGAATTTGAAGGAGCCAATACGTACCGCTCATTTGTAAGCGCAGTGTCTTCATGTACTGCAAATACTCTTCCATCTTCGACAGTTCGCAGAGCAAGAAGCTGAGATTCAGTTCAAGTTTCAGTTCGGTGCCGAGAAAACTTGAAGCGATTGAAATCGCAGAGCGGAAGCCAAGGAATAGAGCGATAAAGCGCGCGCCAGACTGGGATACGATAATACCAACCGAGAGATGCAAATATGGAGGGAAAATTTGTGATTTCTCCTTCGAGATGGACACCTCTTCTTTTTTTTTTTTTTTTTAACTTAAAATTTGTCCTTTAGCATTTTATGTCAACGGTTTAATATTATTTTGGTTGAGTTATTACTTCAACGGTAATTTCTTCGTGGATAATTAGAATTAGATATTTAAAGGTAGATTTATAATTCTTGGATTTAAAAGAAAAAAAAACCATATATTTTTATATTAGACTCGTAAAGCTTTGATAAATAATGAAAATGGAGTATTAACACGAAAATTATTGATTCTAATCATCTCTAATCATAAATCAATATATAGGTAAAAGGCATTATTAGTTTTTCGTTTTTTAAAAATTAAGAAACACTATTTCTATTTATTAATTTGTTTATATGCTAGTTTGGGTTCAGCTTTTGTCTTATTACGGACTGAATTTAATGTTTTTAATTAACATATATTATATAATATATTGTAAAACTAAAATATTAAATCAGAATATTTATGAAGCGTGGCGATGCGCAATTACTTGATCGCCCCTAATCTGGTCGGCGGTGGACCTCCGAACAGAAATCAGAAGAAATTATCGATCTTCTCTGGACTTCGGAGGAGGGAAAGGAATAAGATTGATGGCTGCTATCTCATGATCGCTCGACCAACCGCAGTTGAAGAGTGACCAACCACGAAGAAAAGAATTGGCGCATCTTTTTTCTGGGAGATTAATACAGCCTTTCCTGAAATTTCTGCATTCGATTCGTTTTTTGCTTCGATCGAGGCTCCGGGAGGAAACAAGGATTTCTGAAATTTTCAGTTTAGTTGGAGGTGAAGATGGCAACAGTAGGGCATACACGTCCGACCAGTTGGTTTAACCAAAAGATCGTCGATCCTCTCCTCCAAATCCTCCAGAGGTTCTTTCTCTCATTGCGCATTTGAATTGTGAAATGTTTTATTTCTCTTGGAGCAGCGAAGTTTGTTTGATAGGAATTTGACGAACTCTGTTCTTCATTTTGTACAACTTTGCTTGGGAATTTTTAATCTGAGGATCAGATATCGCATGTCATTTTACAGATTGTCTATGTTTGGAAGCGTATTTTGATTTGATTTTGAGTTCTGACCTTCTAGTATGGAATGGAAGGCATATTCCTAAAGAGAAAAATGAGAAGTGCTGGTTTCAATGATTTCAGGAATTACTTTTTCCCTCTCTTTTTATGAATTCTAGGAGTTGTTTTTGTTACTTCTTTTCTCAAAGAGACAAATGGTCCAAAGCTCCTCTTAATTTTCTGAAGATTGGCCTTGAAGAAATTACTAAATCCTTTATACTCTCTATTCTTGGTTTTGCTGTTGAAGGGGCGCAGAGCCGAAGCAACTGGCATTCTCTGCAGCTCTCGGCACAACCCTGGGACTGTTTCCTATATGCGGTATATATTTCCTTTACAGTACAGAGACTACTGGACTCTGTTGCTTTCACACTTAACTGCATTATGTTTCTCAAGATGTGAAGTTCTTTAATGTGGTCAAGTTCATATTTCTCTTGGGTATTTCTGTATGTATTCCCTGCTTATCATTGGTTTCCGATCTCAGTTTGTTATATGATTGATGTTAAAAGCATAGCAGTTTTTGAATCATGGGGTAAATATAAACATCCAAGCAGACCTCGTCTTAAAACCAATATAGAACATTTGAGACTGACGAAATGTCAAAAGCCAGAAAAGGTGAGTATAATATAGGTTCTAAGGGGCATTTCTATTCTTTTTAAATAGAGATAAAAAAAAAATGTAGAAATTTAAGATAGATGGTATCAGGGATATTGCGGAAGCTCCTTTCTCTTGTTCTTTTTCTTGGTTATTGTTTCATTCGTTACTGAACCACATTTTTACGTTAAGGACTTGTTAGAGATGTTAGGTTAAATTTTTTGCTTCAGTTTATGTGATTAACTCTAGCTATATATGTGTTTAAATAATGTGCGAAGTTCATACCACCATCAATTTGATATTTTATCTTTCATTTACACAGGGGTCCCTGTTTTCCTATGCGGGTTTGCAATTGCATTTCTTGGACCTCTTTGTCATGCTCCAACAGTGATGCTTGCCAACTTTGTTGTTACTCCCATAGAATTGAGGTACTTGTATTCATTTCAGTAATATGAACACTGGAGAGTTGGATCTTTATTCTCACATTCTGATGTGAAGCAGTAGCTATTTTTTGTAGGGAAAAATACTTATAAATAAGCAACTTTATATATTATTTATATATGCGAGCATTTCTCGAGTCAGAGGCTTGGGGATGTTTCATCCCTCTCATTTGTCGATTATTTTTTATTTTTTGCTTTGAAGCTTGGTGGTGCCTTTCTTGCGCTTTGGTGAAGCAATTTCCGGGGGACCTCGTTTCCCATTTACACCTGATGCCTTGAAGAAAGTTTTTACAGGCCAAGCTTCGCATGAAGTACTACTGAGTATTGCTCATGTGGTAAGGCTTCTTCTACATACTAATTTCAGTGCTGTGCATGCGGGGTTATCATTGTTACTCTTTTTTGTCTTTGCTCAGGATTAGACTATAAGATCACCTATTAGTAGCAGATCTCAAGATCAAATACTTCAATTAATGAATCGAATTGGTTTGAGAAGCTAGAAGATTGTACTTCTAAAAGATCCATTTTTAAGAGTTGTTGTTGGTTGAGTGCACATAAGGAGGTCAGCTCTGGTTTTGTTGACACCAAATCCTCACTTTTTCTAGCTAAAACTCATAATTACGTTTTAGATGTCTTCAAGGAGAATGTGAAAATAGATTGTGAAAGATTTTGATGAGTTAGAGAAGTTAGAGTTTGGCTCTGTTGATGCAAAAATATTCATGAAAACTTAGTAGGAACAAATGGTTGGCAGATTGAATTGTATAAGCTTAGAGAGAGATAGGGGTGTGTGTATGGAGGAGAAGATATATGCATATAGAAGAGGATCAAAGTTCACATAAAAGGATGTTCGGGCTTGCCTTGAGGTAAGTATGAAAGCAAGTATTATATGGCCTCTTACAGTCTTAACTTCCTTGGAATACACACATTAGTGAATGTACAACTTATATACCCCTTCGCAACAAGAAAGACAAACTTGTGTATCGAAATGAAAACTTGCATACTAGGAAGACAATAGATTTGTCAAGATGCAACTCGAGTATTGTTCATTTTACTCCTTGGATGACACTCGAGTATTGTTCATTTTACTCCTTGGATGACATTCGACAGTGGTGAAATGGAAAGATGCATGAACTTAGTTTCTTATCTTCTCCAATTGTCAATTTTTCTCTCTCTGTACGTCGAACTGCTTGCTGTACTTTTATCAGTCATTCCATTTTCCCAGTTATCTTGTTCTAGAGTTTTGAATGAACGTCAGTTATCTTTATTTGCTCATTCTTCCCTTCATATGATATATCTGCCAAGTAATCTGGAGAACCTAACCAACCATCCCGTGTTGTGTGATTGCGCCATACTGTGTGATCAAATACATCAATCGTCTGTTATTATCCCCAACACTAACACCATGTCACCAACCAAGATCGTTCTCCCCGTGGTTGAGCTGATTCTCCATATTTGCAGTTCTAACATGTGGATATTAGTTCGTACGTTGTCATTTTGTTCGGTTGCTTCATTCGAATTAAAAAACTGACTGAAAGCTTTCTATCGATATTGGCAGTTGTTGGGATGGCTTGTTGCGACGCCCTTTATTTTGGGCGTTGGATACATGTTGTTTTTACCATGTTTCAAGATTTTGGTCCGCAAGTTCAGCACTGGTGCATCAAGCCCAAAGAAGTCACCTCATTCACACTCAGAAGTCAGACTGAAGGTGAGGGATATCTGATTTAAGGATCCTAGAACTGATGCATTTCCTGGAAACTTGGTGACTCACTTTAACATGGTAACCTTCTTTGTATGCATCACTATGGCGTTACTGTGCTCGGTTGATGGTCGGTTTCTTTTTTCAGTTGCTTCGCTTTGTAATGATATGAATACAGTTCTCTGGATGAAAAAATTGTCAACAAATCTTAAAAGCTGGGCTGGCTCCTATTACAGCATGAAACTGATGCAAGCCTATTATTCACGTCACTGCATTGTTGTATTGTATGTGTACCCTACCCTGCCTTCACCGGTAGTAACCCTTTGAAATGTCGAGCTCTGAAATTGAGGAGCCAAAAAGATAATGTTTCCTTTTCAACGTTCTAATGGTGTTTGGTGGTGCATGAAAGAAAATATTTTAAATTTTTAACAAACATTATCGAATTTTTTTCTCTTCTTTTTCATCGTGACTCAAAATTTTTAACAAACATTATCGATTTTTTTCTCTTCTTTTTCATCTTGACTCAACGTTTGAGATGCCTCCGTTCTACGTTGGAAAGATCCATTAGCTCCATCACTCTTACGTTTTTTTTTTTAGTTTCAACCATCGCCCGCCCATTCGAACCTAACTCAACCATTTGCATTCTAAAAGAAAAATCTATATATAATTTGATCATACATATATGGTCGAAAAAAAAAGTCTTAAAAAAAGGTTGATTAAGAGCTATTGACCATAAACTACCATGGTTACATTTAACTCAATGAAGGGAACTCCTTTCCATTTGTTTTATAAAAGCTATTGTATTTTAATTTTAAATAAATGAAGGGAAATGTTCTCTAATATTATTTAATTACACGTCATTAGTCACTACAAATCAATTAGAGTTTCTTTCAAATAATAATAATTATTAGAGATGACAGAATAAAGCCAAATTCTCTACAAATCAATTAGAGTTTCTTTCAAATAATAATAATTATTAGAGATGACAGAATAAAGCCAAATTCTCTACAAATCAATTAGAGTTTCTTTCAAATAATAATAATTATTAGAGATGACAGAATAAAGCCAAATTCTCTACAAATCAATTAGAGTTTCTTTCAAATAATAATAATTATTAGAGATGACAGAATAAAGCCAAATTCTCTACAAATCAATTAGAGTTTCTTTCAAATAATA